CACTTGGCTTTTTTCCTCCATAAAAGCTGGTTTGATCCTTGAAAGGAATCTGACAAAGACCGAGATACTTTGGTTTCTTGTCATATTGTATAAGTCTATTGACTTTTACTAAAGATGGGCGTTTAGAAATTAGGGGTAGTTACATCTTTTTGACTAACCAAGAGAAACAAATGTACGTGGTTTGGAGTAACAAGTTCTGAACTGCGTATTAATATAAATGAGAGAATGTGTAATTTGCCCATTAGGCAGTTTAATGGCTGGCTTATTAACAATTTCTTTGTTTTTAACTTATTTCTATAGTTAAAGTTCTTGTCTTTTCCTTTGGTTCTAAGAATGGCTGACGAGAATAGTGAAGTTAGAATTCCATTCCATTGCTTTTATTCTCTTTCATTCTTTTTGGGACTACTGTGTATTCAAAAAGCATTATATAAGATTTTCCCAAGCTGTTGCCCTCCAGATATACAGAATTACAGCGTGTAATTCAAAACCTGAATAATCTACTGGCTGTTTTAGTAAATAGACCTAGGGAGATCTATTGAAAATTAAAAAAAAGTGCCCTACAGGGAGATCATGTAAATATTAGTCCACTGTTTTGTTTGAGTTGTTTTGTTAGTCTCCAGTCAAATGCAAGTTGACATTGGCTGTGTATCCAAATTGCACTAAGCTGTAGTTTGTTAAGTGATGATTTATTGCAGAGATGCTCCAGCGGAGTTCCAAATGCTGTATGTTGCCCCTTAAAGTCTTGGTAGCCCCTTAAAAATTTCATTTTAATATGACAGAAGGAGGGAATTGTTACATGCAGGATGGGAATATAATCATATTGAGTATATTTAAATTTAACTAAATATTAATAAAACAAAATCAGAATTAGCCTTTATTGTTGCCCTATTAGTTTAATATGGGGGTGGGGAGAGGCAGCCTCTAGCATGCCAATCAAATATCAAGTATGTCCTTTAGCTCAGAAAAATTGGGCACTCCTAGTTTGTTGCACAAATCATAATTGGCTGGCTTCATATAACATGCTGAGCCATAGTATCTAAACCACAGTGTCTCAGTTAACAAAACATGTTAAACCCAAACCAGATAGACCACACTGTGGCTTAGTGAGATGACTAAGACAGTCATCTCAACAACTTAAAGCAGATTCAGGGTGAAACTGTCTTTTCTTGCTTTTACTGATAGGGCTTCAAAGAACTTCCCTTTAAGACGGCTTAAAGAGGAATCCTTGTGGGCCAGAACTATTTTGCAATTCCCATCCTTGATCTTGTCTAATTTATATATGCTTGTGGAGATCTCCACCTCTGGAGATACTGTGGAACAATTCTATGAAATAAGTAGGAGCACATTTCAACCTATGTAGTGTAGTGGTTAAGAAGTTGGACTGAAGCCAGGGAGGATGAAGTTCAAGACCACCCTCAGTTATGGAAAATGTTTGATGACTTTGGGCCAGCTACTGTCAGCCCATCTGCTTCATAAGATTAAGCTGACCTTCAAAGAGCCATACAACCACTTGGTGACTGTAAAGAGAGAGTTTTCTGGTTCTCTTTCCTGCCATTTGGTGGGCAGGCCAAATCTTGTAGACCCATCATAGGGTGGTTGTGTGGAAAATTGTATACCACCTTAGACCCCTGGAGGAAAAGTAGGCTATAAATCTAATGAAGAAATAACAGTAAGCCAGCAATGCATTGCAGAAAGCCATAATATGGTTTGTTTGGATTTGACTTAGTGAGATACGTGAAGCCAAGAATTATGGTTGTTCAATAAACCATGGTTAACAAATCAGCCTGTAATATTATGTTTGAATCTCAGAGCCTGGGAAAGACCTAATTCCCTTTCTGTTTCAATAAATCTGACTATAGAAGTCTTTGTGAGAATTTTATGTTTCAATAGAAGAGAATATATATAACTCAGGGTTGAACTGTGGAACTTTTGGTGCTCTCTGAGCAGACATCTGCAAGCAAACAACCAAGCTCAGAGAGCACCAAGGACTCCACAATTTTGTGCTCTGTTACCAAAAGTTTGATATGACTCTCAACAACTAGATGCTTTCATTTTTTAGAACCCAGTTTATCTTGGAATTGCTGAGGTAGAGAGTTCTTATTTCTCTTGCTGTCCAACCTTTGATGGACAGGAGAGCTAGCTGGTCCATTTGCCTGATAGCAGAGGAATGTGCTGATGTCTAGCGTTTGCTTTGTTTTTCAAACTGCCTTCCTTCTGAATGGAATCCTTCAGTGTAGCTATCTTCAAACACAGGAGTATCAAAAGATCCTGCTGTGGGAAACTGCTGAATTACAGTTCATTAGGACATTCAGCGTGGAACCTTCAACTGGTTTTATGTATTTTTATAACATTAAATGTTTTAATTAGATGACTAATGTCACTGTGATAATTCAGTCACGAATACTGTCCTGTTAATTTCCACAGTAATTACCTTGTTTTTATGCAAACATCATGGTCTAGTCATTTCTGCATTTTGTTTCCCAGTCGCCCTCCTTTCCCCAGCCTTGTGCTTATACGTGCCTGCCAATCTGACACTTCCCCAGGTATGTGATGAAGATGATCCCCATCTATGAAGCTTACAGTGCAGTAAATTGCCACACAGTCATTTTTCCATGAATTAGTAATCCATGCTTAATACGTAGAAAGAAATATGGCACTTGGATTCAACTCTCATATTCTACCTAAATAGCCTGGTTTTGTAATGCCATGAAGCTATCCCTTGAACTGGTTGGAGGTTTAAGATGGATACACATCTGGTTTCTTCTCCTGCTATGCCAGGTGTTCTAGGGAATTTCACAAAGGGCTACAGGTGTGAGTCCATATGGATGCTGGGATGCGCGCGCGTGTGTGCGTGTGTGTTGTATTGGTAATTTGTTCTGTAGTACTGTCATGGTTAGATTTCTTGGAGTAAAATATCAAGAATTTCTTTTGCCATAGTTCAATTAGGTGGAGCAATCTTGGCTCATCTTGAAAAAGCTAAGCAAGGTCAGATATGATTAGTTTTTAGATAGGAGACGAGCAGGAAAAACCAGGGCTATAGGGAAGGCTAGAATATCTTCTTGGAAGAATACAAGAGCAACTCAGAACTGTATGGTTTCCAAGAAAACCTCATAGATATTTTCATGAAGTCTTCAGGAGCCGAGCTCAGTTCGAAGGAGGCATCACGTTTAATACTTTGCCACAGAGGGGGGAAGCCGTCAGTGTCCTTATTCCATATCCTGATAACCACATGATGCACAGAGCCAGGGAATTCAGATGTCACATAACTTAGTTATGATTTATGAAGCATCCATTGTACTTTATTCAGAAATCATGATCAAATAAAGCATGTTAGTATGATATATGAAACCAGCCATTGGAGCCATTTCTGTCTTGTCCAAGTGAACTCCTAAGTTAGGCATTGAGGGGCATGAGTGGTACATGATAGGGTGGAGCATATTTCAAAAATGATTTCGACAAAATGCTTTGAATTGCCATTCTGTTATTCATTAAAGCAGCTCAACTTTTACAGGCTTCTGCATGAGCCCCCCCCCCAAAAAGATGTGACTGTTTTAAAAGTTGCATTAGTGGGCTCCTTAAAGTGGTAGCATCTTTTTTTTCAGGCTTGCACAAAAGCTTGACAAGAGATGGGCTGCAGAACATTTGCAAAGCATGCAAGTCTTTGGCAGATGACCCCTGGGAGGACCAAGGTCTCATTGGTTTGGCTGATACCACTGCCCGTCCGCATTGAGCTCATGTTTAAACATTGCTGTCACTAAGAGCTGGGCAATAGGAGAGTCCTGCTTTGAAGGGCTGCGCAAAAATCTTTCCCCAGACACTTTCAGCAACGATGGCACATCTTGTGCTTCTATTTTGATGCTGTTTGTCTCTGTCATCTGTTACAAAATTACTGCCTTGTTATTTTTACCTACAGAATTCTATTGTAAAGGTTTCCTATTAAGATTTTCTTATTTTAATTGCTGTACTGCCTGGTTAGCAACCATTGAAGAAACAATATTAAAGGGCAGCATATTGATTCACTGAAGATAGATTTGGGGAAAGCAGTTGCAGACAGAGGGTTGGTCTTTCAACAGCATAGCAGAGATACAGGGAAGAACTGGACTCTCCCACCCCATCCTCACCCTTTTGTCTTACTCTTCAGCAGGAGTATCTCTAGGGAAGGGGTCAAAAATTCATAAAGGGGGCCATAGCCATGTGATCAAACCCCACCCCTTTTTTACCTGCATCATAACACTCATGTCTTCCATCTTGACTCGTTTGACCCCCTGCGAACACCCTGCTCTTTAGAAAGTTGGGCAGAGAGACGAAATCTTTAAGCCAGAATTGTATGCCTCCTCTTGATTCCATACTCTTTCCTGCCTATATCGGTTGCTAACCTCCTCCTTCAACTGGTGAAGCTCTGCGGTCCTCTGGATCCCACCACAGACCGATGGGTTCCTGGGCTCACTTCACAAGAGAACTGAACGTGCTACTTCTTTGGTCTCGTTCAGTTTCATCCACAGAAGTAGAGAGACAAAGGAGAATCATATTTGTGTCATGCTCATTTGTAAACAGTTGCTTCTCTGTTCGCCAGAGTGGAGCTAAAATTAGTTCCAGGTAGCCAAGAAAGAAGTAAACTGAAAAGGAAAGGATTTTTCCTCCTCCTTTTGATTTCAGGCTGAGGATTGGCCAAAGTGACTTGATACAGGAAGGGGATGTGATGACTCAATGGTAGGGAACAAATAGCTTGTACCCTACAGATCTCTGGAAACATCTCCAGCAGTTTTCTACCTAGACCTGGTTCCCTGCCTGACTAGGTGACCCTTGGACAGGCAGAGCAATATGTGAACCCAAGGGAGCTTTGTATAGTCATAGGTATATGGTGACCAGTCTGTAAATATGTATAGGATATTCCTTATATGGATTAATTTGCATGGTTATGAGTGTGTGTAGATGGATATTCTGTCCTCTCTAAAACTCCATCCAGTATCTATTACAGTTCTGACTTTGCTTTCTTACAGGCTGAATATATTGTTGGCTGGGATGAGTCCCTTCTATTTCCATGCCACGAATGTAGTCCTGCATTGCCTCGTGACGCTTGTGCTGATGTATACTTGTGACAAAACTGTTTTCAAGAATAGCGGCCTGGCGTTTGTCACAGGTCTTTTCTTTGCGGCCCACCCCATTCACACTGAGGCCGTAAGTATGCAAGATAACTTCAAGCTACAATTACAGTCCAGCTTAATGAAAGCTTAGATCTTCCCAGTCACTGAAAATCTCTCCTATAAAGATAAGTGTAATATTGGCTCAATTAAAGGCAACTTCACATCTTCTCAATAGTTGTGATAGATCATCAAGAGCGAGGTCATCTATTAAGACTTTAAGTTCACTCTAGTGTAGAGCAAGTTTGCTTAGAAATAAATCCCATGAATTTCAGTGAGATTTCAGTTTGCTTCTACGCTTTGAGAATAATTTTAATTAACTGCCTTGATCAATACTGCTAGGAATAAATGCCAAGTGTTTTCATGGAAGAGTAATGGGAAGTTTAAAAATCACACATTGTTTTTTTTTTTAATATGCTTTAAATGGAGATGTGTAAAGTTCATTAACCTGGGAATAGACTATTTTGGAAATTCTGAAACTTTCCATGCCATGCTGGATCTCAGCTGGACCATGCTGTTCGCAGGAGGTGGTTCTTTGGTTTCTGGAAATAAATTGTCTGAACCAGAAACAGTCCAAGGGGTACTAGATATTACATTTCAGATAAAACATGCCTATTTTGAGGTTGGATCACACCCAGATCATCTTGAACCACATCTGGTTTGGAGGATTTACATCTGGAAAATCCTAAACCCCCAGAATGGCATAACTTATCATTTAGCTAGGCTTTGTCTTGGGGGAATAATCTAATTCCTCACTGTGATTTATTTATAAAATCTTAATTTTAAAAATGAGCTGGCACCATGAGCTCATATCAAAATCTAAGCATACTTAGGATTTCTATAATGATTTTTAAGATTATCTGAGAGCAAATCTCCATTAACTCAGGCCTACTTTGCTAGAGTGTTCAGAACAAGCCATATATACAACAACCCTGTGAAGCAGGTCAATATTATTACGGTCATATTGGAGATGAGGGAATGAAGCTGAAGGAGATCCCTTATATAAGGCCATGTAATTAATTTATGTTGAGGGTGAGATTTAAACCATGAAGTGATTTAAAACGTAGTGTCTTATTCAGTACACTAAAACCTTACTAAGATTTTGATATTTTTATCCAAGGATGACAAGAAAGTGGGGGAGTCAAATTCCAAAACAGATACACTTCTGGTAATTCTGCCATGTTTTTAGGAGCCCTGTGGAGGCTTAATCTTTCAGAAAATTGTCTCTGACATGACAAGAAGCTGTGCATTCATACTGCTATTTCAGTGACGGTTGAGCAGAAGAATATGTTAGAAGAATGTCTCCTCATTAATCCAGAGTTTTTCCATTTGTAGCTATACAGCAGGCATCCTTAAATCAAGTAAATACAGTACTTGAGCTGTGTCCACAAATTTAGTATCATTTTTAGCAAACCCTAAATACACTTAAATGATTCCTTTTGTTAACACAAACGGAGATATTGATTCTTCTCTTGCTTTTAAAATAAATTAAAAGAGCATTTCCTTCCTTTAAAAACAAATTGAAGTCTTGCAACGTTTCCCCTCTTCTTTTCCAGTGAGGCAATAACGTAAGACACAATTAGATCAGTTGCGGTGTGCAGTGCTCCTATCAGGAATTCTGGCCTAAATGTGTCTTCTTCCAGGATGATATAATCCTGGGGTAAAAGAGCTGTGGACTTCTAAATGTTGTTGGTCCCCAATTCCCATCAGCCCCAGTTACAATTAGGGCTGATGGTAGCTGAAGTTGAACAATATTTGGAGAGCCACTGCTTTGCTACCCCTGATCTATTCTATTCTTCTGTCCCACCTTTTTCAATTTTTCTCCCTTCCAGTAGTCCGTTAGTATTCCTTGCCCTTGAGCAAACCTAGTCCTCATTGGTTGTTCTGAGTATTTCCCTCCCCATTTTTAACCCCCTTCCTGTAGTATATTGCTAATTTTTATTTCTAAATAGCACAATCTACCATTGAGAGCCAGTTTGGTGTAGTGGTTAAGGCATTCGGCTAGAAACCAGGAGACCATGAGCGCTAGTCCTGCCCAGGCACAAAGCCAGCTGGGTGATCTTGGGCCAGTCACTCCCTCACAGCCCTGGGAAGGAGGCAATGGCAAGCCACTT